TGTGAAGTATAATTATTAAAATGTGAAGTATAATTATTAAAATGTGAAGTATAATTATTAAAATGTGAAGTATAATTATTATAATGACGTGAAGTATAATTATTAAAATAACGTGAAATATAATTATTGTTTGTTGCATCAAGAAAGGTGTTTCATATATTTGAATCAGTCGAAAATTAAAAATATTTTCAGCAACACCTCAACCAAACACCCTTTTTTATTTACAGTGTGTGAAGTTAAACAGTAAAAAAGCATAACACAGTATTTTCATTTGCATGAAGAAAACTGAGGTTTATTATCAGAGAAACTGTTCTAAGACATTCAGCTAATCAGACTAATAGATAAAACCTGTCATAGGAAGACTTGAATGAAATAATCCGTATTCCTATCTTTTATGTTGTGCTTTCATAAGTTAAGAATTTCCTAATTATAAATTAACCCGACTATGCTATTTGGCAAAGACACTGAACAAATAAAATGTCCCAAGTATAAAGAAAACGTAAGAAAAGAGTTTATTTAAATAAATATGATTTTAGAACAGTAAAAAATTCCGAGGAACCACTATTGAACTATTTTCTAAATTTTAGTAACTTTGCACTTTCTCTATAGTTAATTCTGAAAGGTGTTCCGAACGCTTAAAAATACAGTGAATTCCGATAAATCTACATTTCAAGCCAGTCATAAGGCATTTCTTGCGTTTGAGCTACTTTGGAGAGTCTGACATCAATCGGTTTATCTGTGTCGTAGAGAAAAGGGGACTGCAGAAGAATGCCGAAACTGCCAGTAATACATGCAGTGGAAAAGAGCCAGAGGAACAGTCGGTCGAGCACCATAGCAACATATTTCCAGTCTTCTTTTATCTGAAATATATATGCAGTGTGTAAATTATATGTGAAAGCTTTCTGAGTACAAGGGAAATGATTCAATGACAAACTTCGATCTATTTTTGACAAAACAACAAATTGAAAGTTGTGTTGTTCTGGTATTTAAAATATTTTGTAAAAGAAGGTCTTGAATGTTTTAAATTGCCATGCTGTACAGAGATTGAGTACGTTATTCCAAAACGATTTCTCACCACGTCGTTTCTCTCCATGTTGCCATGCTGTATTTGACGACTGTCCATCTCGACAATGAGGCTGCAATTTAATTTCTATTTCAAAAGGCTCTTTTGTAAGGCTGTCATGTACTAAACACAAGCCCCTCCCTTCTGCTTTCCATGATTACGTGTGGTGTACAAGAAAGGCGGTTTTCAGCACCTATTTCAACAGTCCAATTGCACAGAAATCTATAGGCACTGTGTTATGTAGGTGACTCAGTATGTCTTCGAATGGAATAGCACGAATGGTCGTTTTATTCTCCAGTGGCTCGAGGTATTCGACGGTTGAGCAGCTATGTCATGAAAGCAGCTTATGTACGAATGGTCGTTTCATTTTCCAGTGGCTCGAGGTATTCGACGGTTGAGCAGCTATGTCGTGAAAGCAGCTTATGTACGAATGGTCGTTTCATTCTCCAGTGGCTCGAGGTATTCGACGGTTGAGCAGCTGTGTCGTGAAAGCAACTTATGTACGAATGGTCGTTTCATTCTCCAGTGGCTCGAGGTATTCAACGGTTGAGCAGCTATGTCGTGAAAGCAGCTATGTACGAATGGTCGTTTCATTTTCCAGTGGCTCGAGGTATTCGACGGTTGAACAGCTATTTCGTGAAAGCAGCTTATGTACATGTAGTTTGTGTCGCTTTTATATTTCAGATATTTTTATTGTCCTAGATCACGTGGACGGCTTTGCTTCTGAAGTTACCTTTGTGTTCGTGTATACTCACGCCACACTTTGCTTACCACGCCTGGAGTACGACCTGTTGAAAGTCTCTGGTGTCACCAAGTTGATCCCTATCCTTTGTTCTCCAATGTCATTAAGATACCCCGTCTTGGAAAGTCTAAATACCCAACCTGAATATATCTTAATGATCTGAGTGTATGAATATTTGGCATCGGAAAGAGCTGTTGCATACCCTTCCAAAAAGCAATCAATTTTCGGTGGCATCACACTACCCAGGAAACACCAAACAATGTCAAAATGTAATTATGATAAATGCCATCCAACAGAAATTTTATATCGGCTGTGGTTGTGATGTGAGTCGCTGATTTACAAAATCAAAATAGTTTTATCATAACGTACTCAACTCTTGGTATATAACATAATAAAAATATTGTTATAACTTAATAATAAAGAAAAACATGAACTTGACTAGATGAAGCATTTATTAAACGTTTCGGAATTTCCAGAATTCCATGTCCAGCAATTTAGAAGTACAAAACAGATTACTGAAGATGGAATCCTAAAGATTCCGAAACGTTTAATAAACACTTCATGTAATTAAGTTCGTGTTTTCTTTGTTTTTAAATTATGTTCCGAAAAATCATTCGTTTATTGTTATAACTTTATCTGTATACCCCAACAGCTAAAACTGTAAATCAAAAGATTAATTTTATCTACATTCGTTTATTGTTATAACTTTATCTGTATACCCCAACAGCTAAAACTGTAAATCAAAAGATTAATTTTATCTACATTCGTTTATTGTTATAACTTTACCTGTATACCCCAATAGCTAAAACTGTAAATCAAAAGATTAATTTTATCTATTCTAATTACTGGTAAAGATAAAGTTATTTTTACTCAGCACATTTTTGTGAAAGATGTAACTTTTATGGGATATTAATTCAAACAGAAAATATTTGCTTTAAAGAGGTAGTTTATGATTTGCAAGAAATTGAGGAAATAAATTATGTTGATTTCACAGAAAAAGAAAATACTTACACTGTCAAAGTCATCTTGATTGTCAATATGCTGAGCGATAAACATTGCATTATGAATGGTCTTTTCCATTCTTTCCGGCACTCTTCTTTCCAGAAAACCTGGACTCGATTCCAGTTCTTGAATAATGATTTCCTCTGCTGTAGACCGACCAAGAGGATGAGAGGTATTTTCTCTGCCTTGACAAGAACCTTGTCTCTCAGAAACACTGGAAGTTCGATCTTTTCTGGCATTATCCTGGATATTTCCGTCGTCTTGTTTGTCTTCAGTGTCACTGTAATTCTTGTACTGTGGTTCTCTCATGAGAAGAATTTTCGGAAGCGTGCGAATGAATACTTTCCTGACCCAGGGTCTCAATTTATGAGTGGAAGGAGATCTAAAGTGTACATTTAAAACTAATATGGTTACTACAACTGTTACGGTGAGAAGAATCATGGTAAAGAGAAGGTACTTTCCCAGAAGTGGCAACGCTAAAGAAGTGGAGGGAATGATTTCAGAAAGCACTAAGAAAAAGAAAATTAGTGACAGAAGAATGGAAACACACAATGTAACTTTTTCCCCACTGTCGGAAGGAAGATAAAAGACTAAGATAGATAAGCAACCTATGCCTACACAAGGAATGATTAAGTTAACCGTGTAGAAGAGTGTCTTGCGGCGTAATGTGATGTTAAACGTGATATCCGGATATGGCTCATTACAGCAAGCGTAGTATTTCTCTCTACGCTTGGCTGGGACAGACATGATATCCCATTCTACGCTTAAATAAAACTTGGATAAGTCGATTCCAAGAGGCACGAGGCTGGTGTTTTCTACTTCTTCCAAATGTCGTAGATCAACCTGGAAGAAAATCAGACATTCAAGAATGTCTTTCCGATCACTTTCAAAATGGGCAAGGTCAACCCAGAAAAGCAACTGTAGTTTATAACAAATAAAGTTTGTATTTAAAAATTTTTGAGGTCAATATGAAAGGATTTGTTTGCTTTTTTCGGATATTCGCGCAATGCTAAACAAGATCTATCTGCGCTACTCAAAGAACGTGCATATATTAGGCCAACCGGCACATAAAATCAAAAGAGAAAGCAGTAAAATAATATTTCCATTAAGGTAATTAGTTAGAAATGTTAAATGATTTTTCTAATCATTAATAAAATTTTCTACAGAAAAAACTAACTTTTAGGTAGAAGTTATTTTTGGGGTTACTGTAAGGAGTATTTTTTTAGCTTTTTTATTTTGTTTTCTGATGACGTATATGCATCCTACCTTTTCCACAAAGGCATCAGTTGAAATGGTTCACTCACACTTTATTGGAAATGTTAAGGCCTAGGGAAATCCTTACTGTTCACTTTTTAAGTGGGAAAAGTTCACTCACACTTTATTGGAAATGATATAATATAGCTTAGGGAAGACCTTATTGCTCACTTTTTAACTGAAAAGTTTAATGCTTACTAAAGCGAGGAAGCGAGAAAAAAAAGGAGCTTCATGAAAACAAAGTAAAGTAATTTACAGGTACTTGTGTTTATGTTTAGTAAATGTAGCTATGAGAAAGTCATACTATATCTTGTCATGGAACAAATGTTTTTTTTTGGCTGAATATTTTGTAAACCTTCATGTAAATGTTGTAGGTGCACTAGCCTAACAAAATAGATGTCTACTTGATATAGTGTTGCGTCAGGGGGTCACGTGACTATTGTCACGCCGCCTATTTTCTGGAAGTATCCTTCGTGAATGCCCTAGCATTTACTAGATATATGTTTTTCTGGTATATAAATAGGACGCTCACAACGTGACAACAATGTGTGTATAGGTAATGAGTAATTGAACTGCAGTCAGAGAGAGACGTATTGTTGAAGTTAACGTTTGTTGTTAAAACGTTTGTAAAAGAGCGACTGTTGAAAATAAGTGTATCGTGAAGTTATAATCAGAAAGAATAAACCAGTTTTATTAAGTAAGGACTTGTGTCGCTAAAGTTTCGTCGGAACGAAGTTACGGAAAGTTAATTGACAAACGGAGACTTAACAAATTGGTGTCAGAGAGTGGGACAGAAAAAAAAATGGAAACGAGAAGCGGCAAATCAAACTACAGCCTAGCAGACTTGATGGCAGCAATACACGAACAGCAAAAGAAACAAGAAGAGAAGAGAAATTGCAACAGTTGTTAGAGGAAAATGAAAAGAAACAAGAAGAACGAGAAATTAACCAAGAAAAGAAACAAGAAGAGAGATTACAGCATTTGCAAGAAAACCTGCAACAGTGGCAGCTCGAACAGACAAAATAAACAAGAAGAG